CTGACATGTGAGTGTTCAAAGCAAACAGCGCCATGGAGACCAAGCCGGGTCGGGAATGCACACACACACAAAAAGGAAATTCACTAATTAATGTGTCAAGTCATAAAAATAATTCCGAACTGCACCGGTGAGGAGGGACATTGATGGCAAGTGGAAGCTGGCGGACGGGGATGACACTCAGCAGGACGGTTACTCATTGCCACGGGAAGTACTAAACACATTGCGGTTTCCTTTCACTTCTTGTGCTGGTGACACAACAGGAAGTGAAAGGGAATCTTACAGGATGGTGATAATTGCCGCGAGTTCTATAACTTCCCCTACATCAAAAAAAAACTAAAATTTGGCTGCAGTTTGATTTTATTTTTTTAACAGCTGAAACTTGACAGGACAGAGGGGGCGGAGAGCAGACAGAGAGAGCAGAGAGAAGAGAGTGGACAGAGGGGGCGGAGAGAGGACAGAGGGGGCGGAGAGAAGAGAGTGGACAGAGGGGGCGGAGAGAGGACAGAGAGAAGAGAGTGGACAGAGGGGGCGGAGAGCAGACAGAGAGAGCAGAGAGAAGAGAGTGAACAGAGGGGGCGGAGAGAGGACAGAGGGGGCGGAGAGCGGAAAGAGAGGGGGCGGAGAGCAGACAGAGAAGGCGAAGAGTCCTCCAGCAGTGCAGAGTATTTCAGGAGAGGAGAGGTATAGAGGAAGGAGCAGAGTCCTCCAGCAGAGTATATCAGGAGAGGAGAGGAGAGTTATAGAGGAAGGAGCAGAGTCCTCCAGCAGAGCAGAGTATATCAGGAGAGGAGAGTTATAGAGGAAGGAGCAGAGTCCTCCAGCAGAGCAGAGTGTATCAGGAGAGGAGAGTTATAGATGAGACTCGATGTCAGTGATGGGATTTCAGGAACACGTTTGGCTTCCTCTCTGATGTGTCAGTGGAAATAGAACAGACGATGATGTCATCACTTACCTTGCATGGGATGACATCATTCGTAAGGCAATGTGAAGGTGACATCATCAAGAGCCTCTTCCGCTGAGATGGCTGCATTGCAGGACGTTGCACCACATAGTGAAATCAGTATCCGGCTGTACTACGCCGTCACTGTTCATATCACAGAGCCCTCAATGGTATTCCACCAAAATGCTGAAATCTGAAATCAGGCTGTTATCTCTGTAACCTAAGCGGGAGGAGGAGGTGCTTAGGTGAGATCACAGCAGGGAAAGAGCTGAGAGTGGGCAGAAGGCGGGGCAGTGGGTGGCTGTCTGTGAAAAGTGTTGTACCACCCTCATCCCGCTGTACTCCTCTCATACCGCCCTCATCCCGCTGTACTCCTCTCATACCACCCTCATCCCGCTGTACTCCCCTCATCCCGCCCTCATCCCGTTGTACTCCCCTCATCCCGCTGTACTCCCCTCATACCACCCTCATCCTTCTTCATACTCCCCTCATCCTGCTGTACTCCCATCATACCACCCTCATCCTGCTGTACTCCTATCATACCGCCCTCATCCCGCTGTACTCCTCTCATACCACCCTCATCCTGCTGTACTCCTCTCATACCACCCTCATCCCGCTGTACTCCCCTCATCCCGCCCTCATCCCGCTGTACTCCCATCATACCACCCTCATCCCGCTGTACTCCCATCATACCACCCTCATCCCGCTGTACTCCCCTCGTCCCGCTGCACTCCCCTCGTCCCGCTGTACTCCCCTCATACCACCCTCATCCTTCTTCATACTCCCCTCATCCCGCTGTACTCCCATCATACCACCCTCATCCCGCTGTACTCCCCCCATCCCGCTGTAATCCCCTCATCCCGCTGTACTCCCCTCATACCACCCTCATCCCGCTGTACTCCCCTCATCCCGCTGTACTCCCCTCATCCAGCTGTACTCCCCTCATACCACCCTCATCCCGCTGTACTCCCCTCATACCACCCTCATCCCGCTGTACTCCCCTCATACCGCTGTACTCCCCTCATACCACCCTCATCCTTCTTCTTACTCCCCTCATCCCACTGTACTCCCATCATACCACCCTCATCCCGCTGTACTCCCCTCATCCCGCCCTCATTCCGCTGTACTCCCCTCATACTGTCCTCATCCTTCTTCATACTCCCCTCATCCCGCTGTACTCCCCTCCTCCCGCTGTACTCCCATCATACCACCCTTATCCCGCTGTACTCCCCTCATCCTGCCCTCATCCCGCTGTACTCCCCTCATACCGTCCTCATCCTTCTGTGCTACCTTCATACCGTCCTCATCCTTCTTCATACTCCCCTCATCCCGCTGTACTCCCTTCATTTCACTATACTCCCATCATACCACCCTCATCCCGCTGTACTCCCCTCATCCCGCTGTACTCCCCTCATACCACCCTCATCCTTCTATGCTACCCTCATGCCGTACTCATCCTGCTGTACTCCCCTCATCCCGCCCTCACCCCGCTGTACTCCCCTCACTCCACTGTACTCCCCTCATACCATCCTAATCCCACTGTACTCCCCTCATACCGTCCTCATCCCGCTGTACTCCCCTCATACCGTCCTCATCCCGGTGTACTCCCCTCATCCCGCTGTACTCCCCTTCTTTCTGTCCTACCCTCATCCCGCTGTACTCCCCTCATATCACCCTAATTCCTTCTGTGCTACCCTCATACCACCCTCATTCCGCTGTACTCCCTGAAACTACTCATCCTCAGTGTACTGTACACCCCTAACACCCACTTTAATCTCCACACCCACCCCCCAATTCACCACTCACATCCACCTGTACACCACACTGTACACCACCTCACATATAACTCATCCCATTGTACAACACTCACATATACCTCACCACACTGTACACCACCTCACATATAACTCACCTCATTGTACAACCCTCACATATAACTCACCCCATTGTACAACCCTCACATATAACTCACCCCATTGTACTACCCTCACATATAACTCACCACACTGTACTACTCTCACATATAACTCACCCCATTGTACAACCCTCACATATAACTCACCCCATTGTACTACCCTCACATATAACTCACCCCATTGTACAACCCTCACATATAACTCACCCCATTGTACAACCCTCACATATAACTCACCACATTGTACAACCCTCACATATAACTCACCCCATTGTACAACCCTCACATATAACTCACCACACTGTACAACCCTCACATATAACTCACCCCATTGTACAACCCTCACATATAACTCACCCCATTGTACAACCCTCACATATAACTCACCCCATTGTACAACCCTCACATATAACTCACCCCATTGTACAACCCTCACATATAACTCACCCCATTGTACAACCCTCACATATAACTCACCCCATTGTACAACCCTCACATATAACTCACCCCATTGTACAACCCTCACATATAACTCACCACACTGTACAACCCTCACATATAACACACCCCATTGTACAACCCTCACATATAACACACCCCATTGTACAACCCTCACATATAACTCACCCCATTGTACAACCCTCACATATAACTCACCACACTGTACACCACCTCACACAATCTTTGCCCCACTCTACACCACCCTTTACACACACTTCACCTTTATGGATTTATTTATTCTCCCTGATGTGAAGGGTTATGCCTGGAGGTGTGAGGTAATTATGGGGTGTGTATTGGGGTAATTATGGGGGTGTATAGTGGGCTCATTATGGGGGGTGTATAGTGAGGTAATGATGAAAAAAAGGGAAGTATGGGATGTATGGGGGGTGAGGTAATTATGGGGTGTATAGTGAGGTGTGAGGTCATTATAGGGGAATATAGTGAGGTGTGGGGTAGCTATGGGGGTGTATAGAGGGTTGTGAGGTATCACCAAGTATTACTCCCATTTCTAATAGAAATTATTTTAGTACTATAACTCTCAGCATGCTCCCCTCAGCACAACAACACCGAGCACCCTCTACTTCCTAAACAGAACAACCCCCAGTAGGCAGAACTCCATCCCTTATAACACTACAGCACCCATCATAGAGAATGCCTCCCCTACAACTCCCAGCAGGCAGAAACCCTCCCCCTATAACACTACAACCCCCAGCAGGCAGAAACCATCCCCCTATAACACCACAACCCCCAGCAGGCAGAACCCCTCCCTCCATATCACTACAACCCCCAGCAGGCAGAACCCCTCCTTCTACAACACCACAACTCCCAGCATGCAGGGCTCCTCCCTCTTCTTATAGCACTACAACTGCCAGCAGACAGTGCCCCTTCCCTCTTTATAGAACTTCAATCCCAAGCAGCTAGAGCCCTTTGTGCACTACAACCCCCAGCAGACACAATCCCTCCCCCTCCATGTAAAACAACCCCAGCTGGCAGGCATCTGCCCCTCCTTATAGCACTACAACACCCAGCAGGCAGGCTCCTCCTTATAGCACTACAACCCCCAGCAGACAAGCCCCCTTTTCATAGCACTACAACCCACAGCAAGCAGAGCACCTCCCCCTGAAGCACTACAACCTCCAGCAGGCAGGAATAGCTTCTCCCCTTCAAGTAGCACTACTACTCCCAGCAGGCAGTGCTCATGTGTGGGAGAGCCTCCTCCTTCATTTACTATTAAACCCAAAAATCAGGGAGAGTCCCTTCCCTTGTATCACTACTTTTCCCAGCAGACAGAGCCCCTCCCCCCACTCCTCCGTAGCACTACATCTCCCAGCAAGCAGACAGATACCGTCCCCTCCATGTAGCACTACTACTCCTAGCAGGCATGGAAATCCCCTTCAACTAGCACTACTACCCCCATTGTTCAGGGGAGAGCCACTCCCCCTTTCTAGAACGACTACCCTCCTACATGCACACGGAGCACCTCCCCTTCCACGTCGCACTACAACCCCCAGCATTCAGGCAGAGACACCTCCCCTTCCTAGCACTACTAACCCCAGCAAGCAGGCAGGCGGGCAGGCGGGCGGCCCCTCCCCCGGTAGGCAGACAATAGGCGGGGGGTGGGCACAGCTCTGCCCCCTCCTCTCCTCTCCCCGTGGCTCCTCTGCCTCTCTCTCTCGCTCTCTCTCTCTTGCCCCTCTTTGTTCCCAGCCTTTGTCAGCCATGCCTAGTCTGGTGGTGCCAGGGCTGATGATGGAGAGGAATGGGGCCCTGGCAGAGCTCACCAAGGAGCGGGTCCTGGAGGACGAGCGAGCCCTGCAGATCGCCCTGGACCAGCTGTGCCTGCTGGGGCTGGGGGAGAGCGAGGAGGACAGCGCCAACAACAACAATGCCAGCAGCGGCAGCAGCAGCAGCAGCCCTGGCACCCAGCAGAAGGGGGACAGCAAGCTGTGTGCCCTGTACAAGGAGGCCGAGCTGAGGCTGAAGAGTTCCAACACTACGGAGTGTGTGCCAGTGCCCAGCTCCGAACACGTGGCTGAGATTGTGGGCAGACAAGGTAGGCAGCAAACACCCCCCCCCTACCTTTCCTCTTTGTCTCCATCATCTGTGGGCACCTGCCTTGCAAGGGACACCCCCCTTGTCCCCATCAGGGACCCCCTCCCCTTACCTACCTTCGCTCGGGCACTTCCTGAGCGGCGGTGCTGCCTGCTGGAAAGTTTATGTGAGGATAGCGTGCTCTGCAGTCTGGCGTCTATAGCGTGCCATGTATAGTCTGCGCGCTGACAGACGGTGGAAGTTTACGGCGTGATGCCCCTATAGAGGGAGGGTGGGGGGCTTTGCCCCTATACGTGGTGAACGTTTGCCCACCTAAACAAAAACAACCCCCCCCCCTCCTTTTCCTCTGCACGGAGGGAACCGCACGCGTGCACAGGGAGAGGGAAGCCTCTGTTCTTTGTTTGGGAAGAGTGGGCTGAGAGGGGGGTCTCGGCGTTCCAGGAAGAAGGATTTCGTCCCGGGGCAACTTCCTCCTTCGCCTTAAGTTCCGACGTAAAGTTGTGCCTGCTTTGTGCACGGGCAGCGGTGCCCACCGGCCCTGGCCGTAACGCCAGCTCAGCCTTTGTTCTCATTTAGGGGAGGACCGGTAGGGTTAAATTGAGAGATACCACACCCACCTTTCCTGGCTCAACCAGCGGTCCCTAAGATGGATTTGGGGGATGCGCCCGTGGTCCCTCTCCCCCTCTTAATGCCACCCCCCTCCTCCCCTATGCCACCTCTGCCCTTGCCCAGGCTGGGCTGACACTTGCAGTCCCATCTCGCAAACAGTTGCGATCCAACTTCTTTGTTGACGTTCTGTTCACATTTTTTGGGGGGGGTGTGAGCGTATGGGCACGCGTGTGCGCGTTCCCTACAGTGCAACGGAATCTGGACGTTCCCGAAACTAATGTAATAAGTCGATAGGAAAACGCTCCGAAAAAGCGGCCTCCGGTCTCCAGAGCTAACAATCTATTCGGTGTTATAGACAAAAAAAAATGCCCTCGTGGAAGCGTAAACGGCGCAGGTTTTTTAAAAAATGCGTGCGTTTTTGTTGTGAGAGGTGGGCGTAAGATGCGGCAGCGTGCTTCCGAAATACGTTTTTTTTTGTGGTGGGTGTGTGCGCGTGCTGCTGTGTTTGGTACCAAAGGCGTCCGGCGAGGAGC